CAGCTAACCAGAAAACAGACCTTTATGCAACGAAATGACAAATTTTTATCATTAACTGCAATAGGCCCTTTGCAGCTAACGTGCACAGGACGAAACAACGTGTTTCCGTATTTTGTAAACTCGACTGAAACGTGAAGTTGCTTAAATCCGTCTTGTTTCCGCCTTGCGGAAACATGGTGATCTAGTTTTCCATGGACGGGACGCGTTTCCGTTATGTTTCCGCGTCGGAAACGAACGATCATGTTTCCGCCACATTTCTGTTATCACTTTTCCGTTCTTTCTTGTTTCCATTACGACACGAACAATCAGACAATCAAACATACAGCTGATTAATAGAAAACTGTTAATCGATAACTGCGGCAGATTGCAGAGCTAGAACTGAAGCCGACAGCAACTGACACACAGGTAGCTAGACAGACAGACCGATAGACTGACTGACAAACGGACTAACAGACAGACTTGACAGACAAACAGAATAACTGACAGACAGGCTTAGGTACAGACTTGACAGACAGACAGACCGACAGAAACACCGCCAGACAGACAGAATGTCTGACAGACTGACAGAGAGGTTGAAGGACAGACTTGACAGACACAGGCAGACTGACAGACCGGGAGACAGACAGAATAACTGAACGACAGACAGACAGAAGAACAGTAACAGAGGTAGACGGCAAAAAAACATAGAGGCCTGTAAAAGTCACACTTAACTATAATTGGTGAATTGGTAACCGACTCTTTGTGGTCAATTTGTACTCTACCTGGACAAGACATTAGAGACAATAGAGTTATAACATTCTATTAAACAGGTTTACATATAATGCGGTTTTCACAAAATGAGTGAAACCCTATGTATAGTCTAAAGGTGTTCTTTAAAAGTACTCAAAAGGTCTAGGTTACTCTTTTACAATATACTGCAAAGTACACTTTTATCATTAAGCATGCCATTGGGAACTGTACATGCCACGGTTTTGTTTAAAAAAGGCGTCCTAGCTTCGTTCTAAAAGCTAACCCGACCACAAGTAGATTTCACTGTCTTTCTTAGAGAAATAACAAAGCAGGATTACTAAAAATCAAGGTCTTGGGACGTAGATACGCGACGGGGGTTTAACTTTTTTTTCCTATGTAAACTTTTACTGAGATCAATTGGGCTCACTTTTACTCGGTTTGGTTAAAGTGCGACAGTGTGAACAAAATAAACTGATAATGGGGAGGCAAAGCGACGCTTTTTTCAGCAATACCATTGGTTCTTCTTATGACCGGCTGTTTTGCATCAGTGCGGAGTAGACCCACCCTCCCTGTTTAAGACTGTTTAACGGGTGTGATAATGAAATTCACAGGGTTTGTAACAGAAAATGACTCACCTTACGTAGTCTGAAAAGCTGTTACAATCATCATCGTCATCATCATCAACAACAACATCATCAAGATCATCATCATCTTCATGATCATCTGCAGCAGCAGCGGGGGGTATCATCATTATCACCATCATCAACGACATCATCACCAACATCATGATCATCTGCAGCAGCAGCAGGGGGTATCATCATTATCATCATCATCAACGACATCATCACCAACATCTCCACCACAACCATGATCATCTTAATGGTCATCAAAAGCAGCATAAACACCACGTAAATCATCCTCGTCTCTGATCACCGGCTTAATCATCAGCTTCAACAGCACCACTAGTAACATCAGCGTCATCATCGTGTTCAATAGCAGCATCATCTTCCCTTTCATTAACCCTTTAAGCCCCAATATCCACATAAAAAATTCTCCACACTGATCTCTATATATTTCCTTAAAGAATGAGTTGAGAGAAATGGATAAAAGATCAAAGCATTTTCTCTTAGGTGATCATTTTCTTAATTCTCATATTCTAATCTCTTGACAATCTATGTCTATCGTTATGAGAAAATTGATGTTGGTCACTATTGGGAGTTAAAGGGTTAAGACATCATCAGCACTGACCATCATGACCATGTCGTCGTTATCATTAGCAGCAGAATCCTTATAATCATCATCATCGATAATATTATTATTAGTTTAAAGATTGAAGCCAATTAATATCAAATAAAAATATAGTACAGCAAACCTTGATCCTAAATGCTATTTAAAACTGAGTTAAATGCAATAATACATAACTAACATCACTAATTTGATAGGCTAAGAACTTACTTCTAAGCTAATATAGAATGGAATGTAACTGTTAAGTTAATGGTTATTTGAATGAAAAAAGAAGACCGAATTGCCTTTTTCTTGTATTACCGATAAGCTGACATTAAGACACACTGACTGACTAA